ATAAAAGTGGACAGCATGCCTACCCAGAGTTGAAGTCTCAAAGACTAGGCATCCCAAACCTCGACGAAATCCACTTAAGCCTGATTGAGGTTGTTTACAACTAAAAGGACCAATGACCTGCAAGAGTGAGACAGCTGTAGTGAACTGGGCTAAAGTCCAAAGCTAAATTTTAGCAGCTGAACAAAAGAGTTGCTCGGCCACTTCCACTTAGGAACAAATAGCCCAAAAAAAATCCATCGACGCAACACACTTTTGTTTCTCTTTTACGGTTATTGGAATGGAACTTGGTGATCTAAATTTTCTGTCAACCAGCAACAGAATGCCGTAGTTTTTCTGTCATTTAATCTTTGCTTCTGATTGGCCTAATAAAAAATTCTTGGTAACACGTTCATAAAATTCCAGATAAAGTAAATTCATCAGGATCTCTCAAGTAACTCTTGGTGGGAAGAATTCCGTCTTCAAGGGAATGTAGTCGAACCTTATTTAATGTTGGCTAATCGCAAGGTGACTGCCAAGTCCCGCGGACAGATCGGCTACCACATGTTCTACAGCCACTAAAATCACGAATATTTAGAAACATTATACTTGAATTTTCCTGGCCTCTGTGGATATGAATAACCTCCGAAAGGAATTCTGACAACCAATCATAAAATACTGACAGCTTTTGACGACACGTAAGTCTACCATGGAAAGTTGGACTCGCTAGAGTTAGCAGTGAGTACGTAATTTTCTAGTCTGCCTCATTCTTTATCGTTTCACTCAACCAAATTCTGCTCCTCTTCCTCCCGAATGCACTTAGTGAATCCCTGCAATAATAAAAAAATTCGTCCTCCTGATACTTCCATTTGACTGTTCTCTTCGGTTATCGTCGTCAAGTTATCTGCTCTGTTTCCATGGTACAAGTTTGGAATAGTCCTAAATAACGATCTATCCTGGAATCGGTATATTCGTCACATTATCCTCGAGACCGCCTGGATATTTTCAAGACATACTGTGTCATTCTCTTTCATCGGGGTTGTAATGCAATGGTGCAAATGCGCTTCCAGCGGAGTAGTCTTTCATGAAATCTGCGCATGAATTCTATACGAAAAAAGTTAAATGCCACAAGTTTGTTCTAATGTTGATCAGTGTATCGGTTTTAATGCGTTTAACAAATCACATAAGTTAAGCTTCACTAAAACTCACTCATGGAATACCTGAGCATCTAACTGTTTTCGCTCTCATATTCCCCGAAAATCGTTTGCTCAATCAGGTTCAATCAATCAAGCTCTGCGCCTGAAATTATCTTCACTGAGCGTAATCGGTTAGATGTGGCATAGCTAAATGGTGATAAAATGTTACGTGAAACGCAGAAAAAGGCTTGGTGCCCATCACCCCACGGTTTATAACCAGAACAGGTGTTGGAAGTGTCTTGCGTAAATCTAACCTGAGGTGGGGAATTTGTTACATCTTTAGGTGGGACCAAAAAGCATAAGTGAACGCATCCAGGAAGGGAAGCTAGTATATTCCAAAGGAAACAAGAAGCAGTTTACACAGTACTTTTCGGTCTTTTGAAATAGATTGGCCACGCTTACAGGAAGAAATCTTAGTTGTAAACTCCCAAATCACCTCACACCCAAAAAGCTTACTTCATGGATGAAATTCAAATGTAGACTATCCCATGCGCCCTAGGATGACCTTGTCAGCTAAGCTACCACGGACGCTGGCTGACGCTTCATACTTACATTTGAATGTTATAATATATCTGATTTCAAACACCCAGTTAATGATACCACTGGTGAACCTCCTGTGAGAGGCACACAGTAAGTTAGATGTTGATCGCGTCCGTTTTTTTCACAGGACCTTAGTTTGGGTACAAGCAGTGGAGGCGGGCAAGGCTTTAGAATTCAGGACTAAAAACCATACTATTTTTCAGTTAGTTCACACAAGGCAATAAGTGAGTCTCCCTCTGTTCTTCGTATTACACGGAATTTGGTACCCAAAAAATTGCGGGATTTAAATTCAACTTGTCCAAGATAGTAGGGTTTTGTAAATGAAATTGCACGTTACCAGTACTCCACCAGCGCACGCTGGACCCATACGAATTTCTACGTCTGAACAGACGAACAAGTTCGCGCCTGAGTGATTTGCGTGCAACGCTAGACGCCTCATCACTAAAGCTCGAACATATTCACCTGTTTAGACGTAAAAATTCAGAAGAATTTAGTGAACTCTGGTACATGACATGCTCGCCTCTCATATCAGACGTGCGGAGTTTAAACCCCGGCTCTTATATGAGAAGAACTAGAGTCCAGTGCTCTCCACTTTAATGTGGACTAATGGAGTGAGTGCACCGGGACAGGAAGACGATTGTTCAAACGAGGATCATGTGAGTATGTATTCTGAAAAGTTTCGCAACCACCAACACCTTAGTATGCATGTGAGTATATTAGCGAGTGATATCCTTCCACGACCATGAAGATTCATTATTAGGTATACTTCGAATGGGAAATAGAATCTTGGATTTCAGCCCGTTCGTTTGTGTCGGAAAGACCCACTTGGGCCCAGTAGTACTGTTCGGACAATTTGATGTTTGGCAGTTTATTTGCCTACACCAACTCGAACGAAAATTACCAATAAAGTGCTGTCTTTTCATGTTTACTTTTTGTTTATCAACCACTGTCGAGTATCCGCAGGTCATGCGTGAGTGTTCAGTCGACATGTGACCTAAAATCCGTGTGCCTCGAGAATAAATCGAAAAACAACGTATATTTATAGACTGTATGAGACCAATTTTGAGTTTTGATAAATGTCGGCTGAATAAGAAGAGCTTACTGTGGCTCGATGAGCAGAGCAAGTTACAAAAATTCACAATCTGGTTGACAAACAGAAAACCGTAAGGCATTCCTATACAGATAGTTTAGTAATATTTGGGTCAGTGAATTTCCACTGCGCCCCAAAAATCAAACGGGTTTTATTAGATGCCAGGCTTTCACTTCTAGGTCTCTTTCGGGGTGCAATTTGGCGGTACAGTACTCCCACTCGGAGCTAACTATTGAAAAACATCAAGATAACCCCAAGACGGGGGTGCATCCCTCAGAACGCGGTCCTTCCTACATATTTCGGATTCATTTGTGGTTCCATCATTAGCTGATGTTCCCCGTACCGTGTGTCAGATTATCAACGATCTCAGTAAAATTTACGACGACAAGTGACTAATGCGACTGTCAATTACCAACCATACGAGGCTTTTCCAGCATGACATCCCCTTGAGAAAGTTCATCGTCTCAACCTTGTGCCGCGCGGGACCGAAGAACTAAGAGTATTACAATGAAGAAGTATTTTTGTAGGATTTTCTTGCTGCAAGCTTGGTGACATAATCAACTATATGTTAAGCTTAAAAAATGGCTCCCCTCCCGTGAATTAAACAAAACAATTGCAAACAAATACAACAACTCCGATAAGATTGAATTCTACTCATTTTCAGGGCTTTGTGGCTGTTAAACTGACAGAGTTTAATTCTCGTGAGTGATAATTTTTTATGGTTCTCCCAGAATGTATTGTTCGAGTTCTATTTATCAGGCCAATCACACCCTATTTGCGGATCCTTTGTTACCACAATTTATAATGCAGTTTTTGGTTAACCAAAGGGAGCTGAGCGGATAACCCAAACCGTTCAAAAACGCTTCAATATTCTTAATGATGGCGCGATAATAATATCGCTCTCCGGTTCCAATTTTTGTGCTCTAGGTAAAATTAGGACTGATCCGGTGGTCGCAGATGCAAGCATAATTTTACCGCGGCAGCTAAGACGGCTGATGCTTGTAGCTATTGAGAAAAACGATATTTCTATGTGAGCATTAGCTACAAACCATATTTGTGCCACAGATTAAACGGCATCCTACTAGAAAAACCACACGTTTCCGGGAGACAAGCATCATTCGTTTGGTTTAGTTTCAAGACTTCTTATGAAATCGGTGAAGATTTAATTTATCGTTTTTGCTTATGCAACTCTTAGGAAAAGCAGCTCCTTTGAAGGAAACCCTGATAACTGATTCACTGTTTATGCGTTTAACATGAAGTATGCTCCTTGGTGGAGTTTATAAATTTAATCGTTAAACTAATCGGCCTCGCTCACAGACAATTATTACTCAATAAATCTGTCATCTAGTGGATCACCACAGGCTCTCTTTTGCTTCACGATGTTCGCCATATGTACACATACCAATCGGTCCAAGGTAACGAGACAAATTGGAATCTGCTTGCTGACTATTCAGGTAGTTTTGCTCCTAGTCAATTTAACCACAACAACGCCAGGAATCTGGTGACCAAAGTACAACGAATCTCCATACTCTTGTTTACCCGTATGAGGCCGAACACGTATGAAAGTCTCCAGGTTAATCTTGGGTTCGAGTTTACCTTTAAGGTCATAAGCACGATGGTTGATTCATGTTGATTTTTTATTCATCATCGATTTTCACCCACTTGGTTGGAGGTAAATGCGTAACTTCTGTTGACATTGAAACAAGGACAACATAAATGTTATTCCTGGCCGTGACAAATGCACCCTGCGTTCGGAATCTAGCTAAGGTCGGTCTGAAAATCTGCTGTATAATAATATATCCTAGATGATACAGTTTAGTTAGAGTAAACGATTCACACAACAAACACCAAGAACAATGCACACACATTGGACAACACTTACACGAGAAACATTTCATGTCGGAGTACGAGTGCATTCACTTGGTTAAATGTACAATTTAAATTTTTGACCCTAGTGAAAAGTTTTTACTTCATCATTGTAAGGTCAAAGTAGCATAAGATGGATAATATTTAGAAACTAAAATAAACTCAGTCCCTCAACAAAATAAAGATGTCATAACTACTAAAATAGGATGTATGAGGCAACAAATGCTTTGTTTGAACTACACAAATGGGACCAATTTTTCGTGGAACGTACTCAAAGTAGGCTACATTACATGACGCACATAAAATCCAGAAGTTTTTATCATACAAGTCTGTCAGTCACAGGAAATCACTCCACTTTCATGATGAGATCTACGAATCACCTTGCGCCACAGCAGCCGAATCTTGCATCCAAGAGAATGTCGGAAGATTCGACTAAAACAAAGTAGACAAGGGAGCAGACATATGAATCGCTGATTTTCCAATGTACGAACAAACACGGAAGCAAGTAGTTCTTGCTTCATCTGTTTCATTTTTTCTTCAACCAAAGAACTTTTCTGAATATCTGCCAGTCGCATCGTACCGTTTGTGTCAGTCCATTGAATGAGGTCCCAATTAATCATCGGGGACGTCTCATCAGTTTTAAGAAAGGCAGAATGAGATTGCTGATCCATAATCCACTTAATTACAGCAGGAAGCTCGAATACAAGAGTCAAACCAGATAACATAGTTACCAGCTGAGTGGGTGTAACCAGAATCAACCCATCCGTATCTGAATTGGTTCTTGAGTGACCTTTCGCAGCTCGTCTCACTTGGGCCAAAATTCCGATCTGGACCAAACATATCAGTTGCAGTATTTGTGGTAAGACCAGCTGCATAACCTGTAGAACAAACAAGAGAAGGTTGACACCGGTAAAAAATTAGGGTCGGTTTCAGAAATTTTTGAGAAAAAGTAAAATAATTTTGCCTAAGTGTTAGTGATGAGCTATTGGAAAGTTGCGGATTAGTTATGCTTGATGGTAAATTTTATTCTGAAGCGTGATTTTCATAGTAACAACATGACATGAAGCAGACATGTGACGAATTTAGAAATTCCCATATCGGAGGGTTCACCGTATATTTAGTTTTATTTAGACCTAAAATATCGGTAACAATGTTGCCAACATCATTAGGTAAAGGAAACGGATTTAGAGTCGCAATATACATTCAGAAGAAATTTCTAGAAATGAGCCATTATTGATGCTTTTTGTTTTTTGTATAGAGGAAATTGTTGGTAGCGTAGATGGTCGTTGGTTTGTTCGCCGAACTGGGCAATTTGATTGCAAACGTTTCATCACCAATCGAGGTGACATCATCATTGAGTTATTGTGGAGTGTGGTACAACCACCAACCCACCGCTACGCACTACTACGCTCCACTATAAGGCACTGATGACGTCACTTCGATTGGTGATGAAACGTTTGCAATCAAATGGCGAGCAAACCAACGATCATACTTTTTGTCTGTTGAGGAACAATTTACTTATGAGTGCTTCAATTAGCTTTTATGACATTATGGAAATTTGATACAGGTCTCTTCGATCAGCTACTGAATGCTGATCAACGTGTTTATAGTGAGGCATTCTGAGATCGTCCAATCATTTTGGAGCTTTAGAGAATTGGAAACGTAATAACGCAAGAAATAAAGGCTGACTTGAAGGCTTGACGGCAATGTTGTAATCCAATCAACAATTCACCATCGCCGCCAGGTATCAATATACCACGCCATGGCATGCTGTGCTTTACTGTACCCTAATAAGCCGCGCAATGAGTTGCGGTTTATTTCGCTGGTTAGCAACAAATCAAGCATCAATTGGTTTGCCCCTATCCGTGTAATATCAACGGAACGCTTTTTCGTCTTTGGACGTGCGTACGTAGCAACTGGTAGTGTCGACTTCGTATTTTTTAGAACATCTGTACAGAATTCGAGTCTACAAATTCTGTGACGATAAACTGAGACATACTACGCAAATTAGTTATGCTGGTCACGTATTCGGCTAATCACTCAACGTCATGTCTTAGATTTCCAACTTTGATGAGTTCGTGATGAAGGACGTGCTCAAACAGTCACACAAGTCTGGCAGGGAACACCAACACAACGTGAAATTCATGATGTCGAATTTGTGCTAACAAAATGTACCTCCTTGAAACGCTGTGGTGATCGAACTCAAGGATGATCAGATCTAGGTGGCCATATTTCCTGAAGAAAGCGTATTCGGAGAAAACTTTATCCGCTTTCCACTGAAAAAACCCATTCAAAAAGGATGATGGTGGGCTGTCACGCTATAGCCAAATCAAAAATTCGTTGAAGCTGTTGTTTGTATGAGGAGATTTGGGATTGTTGAGTTTTCTGCAAATGGGGCTAATCTAGGCCGAAAAGCTGAGAAGCACTAAATTGCTGTTCCGTACCTACCGAGCGAAATATCGATCACGCTGGATACCGTTGTAAATGAATCCCGTTGACCTAATCGCTTCGGATTTACCCAGCTATTACTGTGATTCATCTAATCAGGCGTGCTGCTGATCTGTTTCTGTTGTAAAGTGTTTCCGTTGGCAGAGGTTAACAACAGTGTGGATGAGCAAAATAATGTAAACCGTTTGTAATCACGTCAGTGATCACTCCCATAGCAGTTCCAAGCTGGGTAATTACATAGGTGGAGCGAAACTATCGCTAAGGCCATTTGAACACCGATTGCCTTGTAGGAACCCTCATCGCCATGCTAAAAGTTAACCGACCCCAAAACAAGTGATTTAAATCTACAGCTAAATGTTAACCCCACGATTCCTCCTTCGGAAGTCCACTTACCACACTTTACTGAATAATAGGACCGCTGTAGGTAAACTCGGAACAATTATTTGGCAAGAAGGATGAGTGCATAGCGCGCGGAACTGGAGAATCGTTGGATTTTGATAGGCTAGGATTGATATCACTAAGGAAACTTGGCACGCCGGCAAAATTTCAAGGTACTGTGATAATTTCAAAGAACGATACACTGGAATTTCTTCAAATGATGACAGGCGGGCAAGTAATCCATCTCGATGTCGATTTCTTTTAGGGCACAGTTTAAAGAAGTGGTTGGAGTGGAAGTATCTGATGGACTATGAGGTAAGGCGCCCAAATATGCAAGCATTTTGGCCTGCGGCCTGCAAAGTGGGATAACTAAAGATAACAGATGACTGTTTTGATGTTTACAGTTGGGGATATGGCTGACCATAAAAGCTACGAAGGCAGCGAAGAGTATTTTATTCGAACAAATCCGAGTATACCACCTCAACTAGAGAAGCCCTGTTTTTGTTGTTTTATGAGGCGTTGAGGTGAACAAATTACAGATCAGACCGAATACGAGGATCACGGCACAAGAACATGCTCAAGGAACCAGAGTACGCATGTAAATAGCGTAGTAAATTAAGTGCATTTTTAATAGTACGCTCACCTGCCAACCGACTTGGTTTTGAAAGTTGGCTCAAATGGAACTCGGCTTAATCTCTTACGCTCGTCTACAGTTTCAGATCATGACCACTGGTTAGAAAATTGGTGACGATCTTGATGAACCGGCGCATTTTGTCGCCAAGCATTCCCCTTGGAAAAGACGTTGGTTAAGGAAATTTCGTTATTCTGAATTTTCCCCATCCAACAACCGTCTCAGCTGTACCACAGAGTTTGTTCTTTTCGTGGTGAACTTCCGGATAACTACTAGCCGTTGGCTATGTAATCATCCGGCCTTGTGCAAGGATCAGTGATTGTTCCGGTAACATTTTTGGATTTTTTGTCGGATTGGTTGCCGGAGTTGATCAATAGCTGGCTGTAATATGCAGAATGCAACATAATTTTTTGGAATGTGGTCTCTTCACACATGACAATCGGGAATAAGCAGCGTCTAAGAAAGTATCACATCTTAGCAACAACTGCGTCCCTCCTGGTCAGACGAGGGCAATGAGACGTCCAGGCACAATTTCTCGTGGACACAACTTGAAGGAAAGCCGGTAGAGTCCAAAATTATCTTAGCACTAATGGTGACCCAAATCAAATCCAGTACGTTTGCGAGCCGAACCAAGCAGAAACTGACCAATTCCGTCCCACTTTCCCCAGGTTCAGCAAAATTTTCGTTAAAAAGCAGTAGAAATAATTTGACATAGATGAAGAAGTCCAGGATGTGAATTAATATAAGCTTACGTTATGATACCAACAATACAGTAGGGAAGCGATTTGATGAAATTTATCTCATCACAAAATCTGCCGTACCATCAGGATTAGGTAGCTGCAGTTTCAGATATCAGCCTTTCCAACTAATCTTTGCTTGTAGCTATCCTCATTCTGAGGCACCGTGATCCCTTCTATGTAGAGAGTTTAGTCTTGATAGACCTGAAGCCGAATACTAAGCGGCTGTAGTTGTCGGTGTATTTACCGAGCTTAATAGCCGGATTGGAAAAGTATTGTTGTCGACCGAGGAACCACCATAACTGAGTGGTAGACTGAGTGAGTTTTTATTTTGTATGCTTAATGGAATGATTATTTGGCTTGAGATGCTGCAATCAAGCTGTAATCAGGCAAATAGTTGTAGCGGTAGCACGGCGACACGGTAGTTAACTCCCTTCTGAAGATATAGATGCTGTGTTTGCTGTGGCGCCTTCTGCTGAGGTTGCACCGAAATGATTGTTGTACTGGAGTACTTGAATGGGTAGCTGGCAACATAACTGCATTAAATTTAGTGGTTCAACCACTGAGATTAACATACTGACGGACCACAACATCCATACAAACAAGGACAGTTTTCACCCGTAAATGATTGGTTTGTTTCTCTTTCTATTAATCCTTTGCTGAAAAAGTGAATGAGAACTGTTAAGTTGGTCAGTAAAAGTAGAAACGCAGGAGGTAAGTTGCTACCATTTTGGTGAGCAGACTGGGTTGTGCCGACAGCAATCAGTGCGGTCATCCGCACAAGCATTTCTCAAGTATTTCTTTTTCGTCTAATTTCTCTTTATTTGACTTTACTCTTTCTCATTGCCAAACTTCGGTAAGGAAATGAGGAAAAATCCAATGAGGTTTTGAATTTTCTTACTTGAAAATCTAATTTTCACAAAGGAAACTACTCACAAGGTTGCTGAAAAATCTTCGACAGTCTACGACCGGCTTCGCCTTTCTTGGGGCTCATCAAGTGGGCGCAGTCCCAGAGTTTCCGTCCTTTATCTGTGAACGTAAAAGTGGAACACAGCATTATCTGGATATATTCAAGGAAATTGTAGCGCTGTTATTCAATTTAACCACCATTTATTGGAACTTATGAAAAAATGATTGTCGATTCACCAAAAACACCAAAATTTAACTCATCTATTTGATGTAATATTGGATAAAATATAACTGGTCACCAAACTGTCATGTGCGTGTGAATGAATGATCAACCGACGGGAGGGAGTGCAGTACCTCGTACAAAAAACTCATTGCGGACTTAAGTTCTATACGTTTTGTGTACAGTTTAATTGTTGTCGTGGTCGAGGAAGGATGTTTAGGTCAGTAGATGTATGCTCACTGAAGACCAGTCTGCAGTTATGTCCGGCTTGAAAATCTAATCGCATTTTATGATTTTTACACCAAGGACATATATCGGAATTTTTTCTGAATTGGTGTATTTCTCGAAAAATTTAATTTGTTTCAATACCTGACGATAATGAATATACCAATCCTATGGTCGCCCGAAAGAGTTGGGCCATCGCGCTTTCTGTACAGTCAGAGACTTTGTTCACAGAGAAAGACGTATTGGAATTCTATGTTACACATTTAGAACCTTCTCGATTGTGTGTTCATGAAAACTCTTATGAAAAGTTTTACTAATGGACAAATGATCGTATGTGTGCAAGGCCTACCACAGGGTTCATTATGAAAAGCGATGTTCCTCCTAGTTACAACTCCACCCTACGGGACGCCACGAACAGGCATCAACACTATGAGGCTAGCTAATTTTTATACAGTTTTATGTGAAATCCAGTACAGTTTTAAGGAAATCAAAATTAAAAGAATGAACATAAGTAATCTTGCAGAAGTTGGAATCAAACTGGCTTATTGCCCATTAAACTTGTCGAGAGACAGCCAAATTTGACACGGCTTTGTGGATTTCGTGAACATCAATGCAACCAGTTAGGTGAGAGAGATATATTGCAAAAGTACACGGAGGAGGATCATTATCGATGAGAGCAGATCGTTCAATGTCTATTGGTCTACAATTTGTCCTGCCATCATAGACAAATTTCTGCCATGTCAACCTATAGTACACTCGCGGCACTTTGTGTACACAATCGGTCTTGGGATAGACCACCCAGGCGTTAGCAGCGAATGAACTTAGGTTAGTTTCACCGACCCAGACACTGAAGAACAAGAAGAGTTCGAGAAGTTCGAGTAAATGAAAACATACGTTCAGTTTCATTCGTAATGATTGGAAGTGGCTACCTGAAATGTGTGATTGATAAAAGTGTTTTTGAGAAAAAACAACAGGTATGTCAGCTAAAATTAGGGAATTTTCTGTCCAACCCCACATTTCTCTATCGTATCACTACCTAACTTTCATCGCTTATTAAACGGGATAAAGTAACCCTTTACTGAAAAGGTAGTAGATGTGGTAATAAAACCATGGTATGCGCAGTAGAAGACGTGATTAGATGTTAAGTTGACTCGGTACGATACTGGTAGGACGACGGTTTCCGAAAAGCAGATAAACAAAGATAATTTACTTCAGCTAATGCTGAAGAGAGTCGATAGACAACAAGTTTGTGTTTCATGGTCATCATCTCCAGAACACAGCTCACGGAACGTGACGAGTGTTTAATTCCTCATCTCCTCGGCAGTGGTCGGACTATATACATTTTAGCAAAGTCTGGCTGATCAACAGTCCGATTAAGTTGTACTTATGCGATTTTAGTGTCACCAAAAGTTCGAAAGTTCACTGTGTTGCTTGCTGTTTACCTTCCCAGTTAGTTGGTGGGACAACTGTCAGAACGTATCTTAATGGAAGAGTAATTTTTTCCATTCTGAACAAACTTATAGTGTTTATCCATTTCATCCGATGATTTGGGGCATTTATTCCTCCCTATAAGCACAGTTTTTGGTGTCCAATAATTTTGGAAGCAATTGAATTTTTATATTTTTGCTAAAAGTTGCGTTTACTTTTCGGTGTAAGGGAGACTAAAGGCGCAAACTTCTTAACTGAATCTTAAAGCCTCATCATTGAGTAACATCAGGTAAAAGCCACTTGGGAGAAACTTATTATATTCTCCTGGGTTCATGAATGATTAAAGAAAACCGATTTGTTATCGGCTAGCACACTTGCAACTAGATTTTTGGCAGCTTTGTAGCACGATACTTGGGCAAAACCATTGTGAGCAAAGCGCCTTATGTCCTAATGCACTAATGCAAGAGCAAAAGTCGTCTTTTACAGCCCTGTCGATTAGCCTAGTATAAAACTCGATTTTTGACGGAGTTTGCCTGCTGGTATATAGTGCTCTCCATATGAATCCAAATAGTGATCAAAATGTCACAATCCCTGGTCTTATCACACATGTGCGCAGTGTAATCATAAAGAACCAGAAATTATTGATGCAGTGACCTAAGATATGCTTATATTTTACATTAAATGCGTTACTCTAATAGTATCATATTGCACAAAAATATAAACGGTTTGCTGGCGTTTTTGGCTTCCGTCATAAAAAGTTAGCGATCCTAGTATTCATAAATTTAAGGATGTCCACGGCAACGCCGAGGAAAATGGAAGATATATGTCTAACTGCAAGGGTGAGATGGCTCAGTGGTTAGAGCGCGGATGGACCGGAATGTCTGTGGTTCGAACCCGACTTCTGCCTTATGAATTCCTCTGTATAGACTCAGCCAGCCTGGCAGTATCCAAGGCTTCACGCACCCCACGGATGGCAGAGCAGCTAGGTACCAATAGGGTGTTACAGCCGGACGGTTATCATTTTTATCCTATCTGTAGTGTATTTTCCGACTTATTAATAGCAACAGTCCAAAATGGTAGCTCAGAAAGGCAGATGGAACAATCAACTGAATTCGTTCAAATGGCGTTGCATATGCTTTTCTGCACGATTCACAAGCTTAGTTAGTCTACTCTACTTCGCTTGGGGAGATGATCAAAAACGGGCAAACTGAATACCTATTTGAATTTTAGCAACTTTATTTGGAGAACGATTTGCTCCGGTAACACCTTGGTTAGTTGTACGAAAGTTGGTTCCGTCCCAGGTGATTCAATTTAAATAAAGTTCAAGAAAAGCAATATCGGAATGGTCAGTATAGCATCACTGGTAGGGGCGTACTATTACATGTTCTTATTAGTATGCATAACGGTAGATTTATTAGTTCGTAGTTTTCCCAGTCACTCTGAAAACATACGTGGTCCGTCTTTTTTGACAAATTGTGGTGGTGAGTAGGTTAAAATAAAATGGATTTTGCGAGGTTTTACATTGCACAAATATATGTTGTTGGCGATGTAAAGGCATAGAAACGGACGTTTTCCAGCCATGTGATGCATAAAATGAAGCCAACTTGAAAAGACCTCCCTAAGAAATGCAGTGGTCTCTACCTTATTTGTACAAGGCGTCCAAACACATAACTTGGGTAAAAGTTGGCATACTTGAGGCGGACAATAAACCCAACACTTAAAAGTTAGTGCCGTTTTACTCAATTCAAACTACCACATCGACAATGCATATATGTACATATACATGTATATGACAATCCTGAGGGGCGAGATTGACCATTTGGTTAGAGCGCGAATTTACTGACAAATAGCAGCTAGGCACCAAAAAAGTGCCAAGGTTGAACGATGACAATCCTGAATGGTAGTGTTGCTTATATAGAAAAACCTTTGTTGGATAATTCAAGAGCTACCCACTCAGCCGCTTCTCTGAACACAATTCAGATGAACCCTTGTCCTCACTGTGGGGCGTGTTAGAAGCCAAGAAATTTCGTGAATAGCACGTACACTTAATTTTCATGATCTAGCTGACGAAAACGTAAGTGAATAAAGACAAAAACGTGTGAAAACAAAAACGCATATTCAGAGTAGGTCGATGAATTCTAAACCACAATTTTCACAGTAAACCTCGTGGCAACGGTCTTTTAGATGACACAGTGTGAAACGCAGTAAGAATAAATAAAATAATGCCAAAATAATGATAATTACAAAATTACTGTGACTTTCGTGTGTGACTGTTTTACACCCGACAAGTTGGATCATAAGCGCCACGGTCATTTCTCCTCAATATGGTCTTGTCAAGCAACCAACAACCAAAAATCGATCACCTTGATCTTCAGCTGAAACTATTGATACTGGCTTGGCTCGTCAAAGTGGATCTATCACTTAGTCAACAGCAGCTCCCACTTATATGGGATGATTTTGTCAACCCTTATTAACAAACTAAGCTTTCTTCAAGCTCCTGTATTGTTCGAACGTGCCTTGGCCTGATGAGACAATAGGGAAATCGTACGATAACAATGACTGTGTTATGAAATATGGTTAGCAGGTTTACGAAAATAAATACGTTTAGGCTGATAACACTAATAGCTTAATTCTAGTCCTTCATAATCGTGGTTTTCACGCAAAATTCGAACTAAAAACAACCTCTGTTGCATGCCACCGCCTCTTGTGATTTGAACAGCAGACTACATACATAGATGGCACACGTCAAATTATTTTTCTTGAACGCGTGGGAATTTTAGCTCGTTACAAAGAATTTCATTACGTCCGCATAAAAATATTTGCCTTTTATTTGGACATACTTAGCAATCCAGGCGGATGGATTCACACCACAAGACATCAAAACTCGAAAGTCTTATTCGACAAGCATTGATTTTACAGAAACGTTTGATCTTGTCATTAGGAACCATACTCTGTTGGCAGTCCAGATACAATTGAGATCTCCCATTTATTGTCGATTCCCGCTCTTACCATTAATGAATCTTGAAAACGCCAAGAAAAGTAGTGTTTTTTCTTGCATTAAGCATACGCTTCTTAGCACTGTGGCGTTACTGATATAAAACTTTATTATGGCACTCACTTGATCATACGTACCTCAAGTAATCGAGGGTAGATGATTCCAAAGAAAAGGGAGTTCCCAGGCTGGATTACGCAGTTAGAATTTCCAAAAACATATAACCATATCAAATGCGTATTTAAAAATGTGATGCATGTAATGGCACCCGCAGTTATGAAGGCTCCCCCAGTTCGCCCAAGACCCACTTGAATGTTAGCGTTCTGATTGGATTTGCCGAGCGCTAATGTTCTCTGGTTTGTGATTATCGATATTGGACAGCTGTTTCTGTGGCGAGTGGTCGGGTGTCGGCATCTGTTTGTTGAGGCTATAGCATGATGTGAATTTGCATGGTGATATTCGTTTGTGATAATGTACCGCATGCTTAAAGCAAGAGAGCCCACGGTGTTCATAGTCCTGTCGCCACAGGGCATTAGAGAACGTGGTGAATTCTGCCTTGTCATTTTAACGGAGAGTCTTGGCAAAAGCAGTCGTGATGGCGTTTTTGGTACAACCGGACCGCACTTTCCTGATCGATATTCTCCCACCAGACGATCAAACAATGTTAGACAGAGCAACCAGGTGGGAATGTAACGGAATAAATTATGAGAAAAATTAATTATTCCGCAGCTGGCATTGTGCAGTTTTGGTTCAAACACCCAAGGTATGTGATAGTGGATCACCTGACTTCCATCAAATACAACCAACCAAACTAACGCAAAATTCGCATACCACAGTAAAAGAAGCCACGTCGCTGGATGACGTGGTTGGTTGATATGCCTTTCAGAAACGCGCTTTTTGGATCTGATGCGCCTGTCCAGACCATAGAGACCAACGATGGAACAAAGAACACATACACAGTTTACAGCTAACAAAGTTGGGTGTATATATGCAGTGAAACAGTGCGAAATATACTTCTCCCTTGAATTTTCATACATCAGATAGAACACATCATAGAACAGTGCGGACTCTCCTTCTTGACACCATTCATACAACATTGTGGCGTTTGGTCCTGTAAGGTTAGTCAGCACGATTTCATTTGGATCAAATACATGGTTCGCCATCAGTTCATTGAGGTTCAGGCACTCCTGCATAGCTTGGTAAAACAGACTTAAATGCAACAGAATGGAGAGATTTCGATACGACGTTGTGTTGGCTGGCAATTCTACCAATAACTGCCATGCTCGAAAAGCTGAATCAAGGTGCAAGTCAATTGCTCGCCTGATCATGATAGGTTGGATAATACTACGCACTACTGATGTCATGATATTAATATTATCCAGGAGAGTTTTCCTGATTGGTTGATAGACTTCAGCTAATCATTAGCCGCGTGAATATGGGTGGGATTTTGTTGATACAATTTTGTTACCATCACTTCTTGCGGCTTGTTTCGTGGTGAATCTATTGACCATCTGACTTTTTTGCCATTAAGTTTCATTACTAAAGGGTGTACCACCGCAGAAGCCGTAGAGAGTCTCAGTGAGAATATACCTACGATACGAATCCATGATACAGATATTCCAGCAAACCGATGGTTACTAATTTGTGTTTTCGTTGTCCACAACGGCGTGTAATCCACGCCAATTACTTTGGAATCATGTGATTGCTACCGGTTGTTATATCCTCGTGTCTGATGAGAGTTTAACTGACAAAAAGGCACGGAAGAAACTTAAAAATTTCCAAGGTAAATATCACATTTATGAAGAGTAATACACATGGCGATGGTCGGTAAAAAACGAACAATGTGGGGAGGTTGTCTAGTCTTTTCCCACATAGTGAGACAAAATATAAATAATATTGAGTGGGTGGAGGGTCTTTTCCCGCAGTATGGTCAAATGGTTTCACTCGAGTATGTTCCTCTAATTTAGGGACTACTCTACAAGGTATATCGTCTTTTCGGTTAAGCGACAGTTTTATGCCTACCTGTTACTCGTGTGGGAACCACAGCGGCACCTTGTCGTGTACACATAGTTTTGAGGCAAGGCTGGCCGCTTACTGATGACCCTAAAAATGCGTTTGATTATTTTTGGAGAAGTTGACCATAAGATGTGACTGGTTTTAGCGAGCCAGCCGTTTAACCCAACTTCAACTTGGCTTTAAGAACGTTCGAAAAACGGCCTGCGGAGTAGCTAGTGACAAGTAAAGAAATGTGAACATTAGTTCATTGACTTCTCAGGTTGTGTATATTTTAGTCGATCGTTCTGCGAAAAACCATTCACTTGAAGCATATATGCGTCATAAGCTTATTGCTGGTGCATTTCTGCGACCCAGGCGTTCTAGAAATTATTGGCGAGTCAGAATTGGATACACTTTGGAGTTTATTTTTGACGAACTGATTCCTCTTCCTATATAAAAAATAGCATAATATTTCAAAACCAATTGCTGGTCTAAACTCCAGATAAGTTTCACTCCTTGGTAACTCGTCCCGTTTTTCTTTTTGTAACACTCAACACATTTTTCTCATTCCGCACCAACTCTATGCTTTTCTCATCTCGCCAACTATTGTACTAACGACAAATTTACTCTGGCTTTGTCACTAGGGTAGACAAATGCTCACTTTACAAGTTTCCCCATCATAAAAATGCGCCTTGTTTCTTCCCCAATTTGCGTGGAACATCATGACGGATTGGAATCCGGTCTTCGTTTTGTTTATTCTGATAAACAAAAACATCACACAAAAGCCTGAATGTAGTTCACTCGTGGGGTAATCGGATGGCTAAAATATCAGTAGTTATTAGTACGTGATGATCGCTACCATAATAGCTAGAGGATAACATTGACGCATGTTGCAGCAACAGGTGTATTATGCTGAAAAGATGGTAAGCGCCGTTTCGTCCTTGTTGGGGTCTGGAAGCAGCTAACATGTAGACCCCATAACACGTTTCCAGTTACCAGTTGAGGACAATGACGATTTATATAGAGGCAAATGTTGGTAGCTCAGTTAGCGTAGATGGTCGTTGGCTTGTTCGCTGAGCTGGCCGATTTGATTGCAAACTTTTCATCACCAATCGAGGTGACATCATCAGTGCGCTATTGAAAGAGTGCACAACCACCAACCCACCGCTACACAGTGCTACGCTCCTCAATAACGTACTGATGATGTTACCTGGACTGGTGATGAAACGTTTGCAATCAGGTTACCCAGCTCAGCGGACAAGCCAACGACAATGACATTTCCAAATAAGCCGTTTACCGCGAGTTTGACTGTCTCATAATCAGATGTGATATGTTGCTAACATTCTTCAGTTGCGTAGAGCGCATGGATTCTACCTCTGGAATTCGTAATCTGAGGAACAGGTTCGGTTTATTGTTTCATTGTGAGTAGACACTTCTGACTAGCCACTGGTGACCAAATGGTATCGTGATGACCAGCCGCGGAGAGAAAGACGGGGACTTCTAGTCATGCCAGTCACAGGATAAGAGTAAGCTTATAATTATTTACCGTTATTTACTGATTTAAGCACAGGCGACAGATGAGGCCAAAGCGGGCTTGAATATTCTAGTTTGTCGGCTGGACGAACTACACTATTCATCGTGCTCAACGTGGCTATAATTGATAAAATGGTTCATGCGCAACGGGTGACGTTTTACAAAAAAGAATCAAGAAATAAGACTGCTTTGATCGTGCTCTTTGAATTGATAACATCTATGTTAACATGATTTACGGATGGGACGCCTTTTTTCATCCACATTCTTTTTACAGGCTCCGCAAATCCGAACCGAAACCTATTGTTTCACTAGTTTAGTAGTTACAAAGTCTCGTACGAAATAAACTTCTTTCCAAACCAGGAACAAGGAACAGCTCACTAACCATATCTTGGTACTCATTGGCAAAAGGAGCCAAAACAAGCACGCAAACATTAATCCTGTCCCTCAACCTATGACTCTGGGGTTGGTCATCCACAGCTGGTTCTACAAGATAAAACTCAACCTAACGTATGGGTTTCAGCAGTTCTATGCTTTGAATAAACAGACATCCAGATATTACAAACTCATGTTTTTTATGCAAGCGTTCAAACTGATGAAAAATACAAGAAATTTGGACTAGACTGCTTGCTGTTTGTTCGGGTTTGTTTTCCATATTTTACAGGGTTTCGGAAATATGAATAATATCTACAAAGATTGGCTATTACCAAGAATTCGAAGGGCCCCTTCCAGTAACTTCTTTATTCCCTCAAAATTATCAACCACCATATTCGACAACTCTTGGCCAAATGGTTCCTTGTTCATACTGGTTGCCGGAGGGTTGCACTTCCGGGACATTTTGAGATACACAATGATAATTATTTCCAGTAAGGACAAAACAGCTGGACAGCAATTTTAATCTCTCCAGCATCGAATAGCCTTACTTTCAAAACGAAAAAATTCCAAAATCAGTTCACACGACCAAGATGTTTTTTTCACTCACTGTCAATGACAGATGATGACGAATCTTTGGCCATCTGCAAACACTGTTGCTTTGAGCTGGCCAGATATATTGTCCAGGATGACAACATACTTACCAAAAGACTAAACCCTTAGGCTACCCGTTGGTTCTGTAGTTGCGTTAGAAAACCACGTGTACGAAATGGCTATAATAGAAATGTATGGAGAATTTGACTCGTTTTGTACTTCTTTCCACACTTTGGAAAACACCGAAATCAAGCAGAGTTCCTTCTCGTTTGTAAGCTGCCTAACCATGGGCAAAATGTCTTACAATGCTCTTCTGTATATACAATCAGTATGATGCGCCTGGAGACATTTTTATGCGCAGCACAAATTATTGGCTCGCTAACAGACATCTAGGTAGCCGCTCTAATATTAGGTGATATAATGTAACGTGATATAGTGCGAGTTTCCGAGTCTGCATATTTTAGAAATGGCTCTAACCAAAATGACCCAATCAGGGGAGGTCTAAGAGTAAACGCAAACCGATATTTTTGTCACTGTAATATTATTATCCAGCCACAACGTTAGGTGTTATCTGCCTAAGCGAAATGAACATGAGTGACAATTTTGTGAAACAGTATTGTTCAGCATTCAAATAATTCTTACAAATGGGCCGAAATGTTTTATTTTCACATTTCACAAACACGAAAGGCATCTGAGATGCAGTATTTTCACTGCCATTTTGGACAGTTATATCTGGGAAGCAACCTGTAATCCCCCAAAGGTTGTATTCATAAAAGAGATTCCTTTCATTCATAAGACAAAAATACCTTGTAAAGGAGGCGTTGGAAACAGAGAAAAGATTCTCAACTCAGCCTCAGGTTCGTAGACTATTGAAAACGCCAGTCTTCTTTGTAGCTTGCTTGGTGTTCTCAAACTCGAGCATCTATGTAGGAGACTACTGATGAAGAAGTTGCGTTTCTTGTTGATAAAATTTAGGAACGGGTGTTGTGAACATTTTGCATACATGTCGAGATTAGTACTTATCTAACATGCTTGGCCACAAAATTCTGCTTGTTTTAACAAAATCTAAGCACGTGTTTATTTATTTATCTGGTGCTAGTTTAGTACATACACTGCACATTTTTTTAAACAAAATAAGACTGCGTATTATTCAGCATTATTTTGTGGATGAGGAATATTGGGATCAATTGGTAATTGATCTGAGAATCACTGTAAATTTTGAAGTGCACAACTGTGAAACAGATTGACATTTAGGGGGCCAGCCGTCCCAGATTTGACTTTCATAAGTAAAAGCAATACTACCCATTTGACTGCAACCTTAAATTCAGACTATAAAATAATAACACGTTAAGTTTTTCATCCTAATAAGCATCAATGAAAAAACGTAAGCTCCAACACACGATCACGCCTTTGGTAATTCTTCCTCGTTGTATAGCTTAAAACGCCATCTACTATATATCTGGCAAAAAGAACTTGAAAGCGATGCACTGAGGGATTACTACATCTAAATAATTATTCACTATTTACACCTCTGATGAAGTGATAATGATAAAATGAAAAAAATCCCATTCCTGTAATATGTGACCGGTGTAGGCAATTTCAGAAGGGTTTTCGTGAACGAACGCAACGCACACTTACGTGTGCCCCTCCTAAAAATCAGATAAGCTGAAATCCTCTTGTTATGAAATATTTAACCTATTGTCATCAAAGAAATAAAATACAGGTAAATGGACGATGTTTATCTGTTACCCTTTGTTCCCATGCTCAAAGGAAACTGCACTCTGTACTTCGGCAAAAAGCGGATACAATCAGGTTGAAGAAAAATCGCTTTGCAAGC